TAATTATAATATTGTTTGTTTTGACACTAAGCAGACATCTTATGAAGTTCATACACCTCATGAGTTTTTGTTTTGGTGTATTTGTTGATGTTTTGCCATGTTCTATCTTGTTTTCATAAATTCTACTTCGTTAATTTTTTATTTTTTTTATTCAGTGAATATGAAAAAAATTAGGCTACATTGTATAAAAATAACATTAACAATAAAAACTTTGTTTGTGGRTAGGATTTCTGTAATGCACTATGAACATTTGTGTTTTTGTTTGTTTCTCCCATAGTTTTTTGTGTTTTTATTAGGTTTATTTATGTTTTGTGATTGATGTATCTGTACTGTTATTCATTCCTCCTGTTTGTTTTTGTTGTCTTGCCACATCGCCTCCCTTGTTCCTCATTCCCTGTTAGTTACACACAGATAAAAATATACTGCTCCATCTACTTAAAGAAATTAAGGCAACTATTTGCATAATTTATTTATGATGATCAAGCAGGACTATTATTTGTACAGTTATATTATTAAATTATTTCTTTACATGAAAAATAAAATCCAAGTAAAGTCAACTTCATTTTGTCAAGTAGATTAAGCAAAACTAAAATTTGGAGAAATTACATAATTTTTTCAGAATTATTATTTTAATCCACTTAATCATTGCATGTAATCTTTACTTTGTTTAGTCCATTTAACATATTTTCCAAATTTGAGCTCAACTGATAAGTTATACTTCCTATTGCAACTCTTCTGCTAAGAGGTTATTCAGGTTAAATAACTGGTAGAAGCTGAACTGTTAACATTGATCACATTAGCATTCACCATTTGTTAATGTAGACAACACCTTTTACCAGCAGTAAGGTTTTGTCTTTGAACACACGTATGCATCCTGCTCATTTTCCTTATGTCTGTGGCMCAGGCCTTTCACTCATGGTGTCAGCTACAGTCAGTAACCAAAACTTCCACACAAATACCAAATCAAACCTGAATGTGTAATGTGACATTAGTGAACACAACTCAAAATGTTTCATGGATCACAGATAAAAGTGTTTTTGTGTCCTTTTCAGAGGGAAGTTTCCAGAAAATTATCCATTTCTGCAGCAAAAAGGCGGAGCTAAAGCTCTGCGCCCGTATTTATAAAACTTCTTAGAGTGGATTTTTAGACTTAAGTGATGAAAATTTCGTAGATTTGCTCCTACTCTCAGAGTTAAGTGTAAGTGCCAGTTATGAAAATTCTTAAGTCTAAGAATCTCTCTTACTCTCAAGGAAAGTTAAGACTGCTCCAGAGGACTCTTAAGTGGTGAAGAGTTGCCACAAGGAGTCTGAGATGAACTGAGGAGACAGAGATTACAGCTGTCCTCCTCCCTACCTGAGTGTTATTCTCCGTTACAAGGTGGAAAACAGATTTAAACAGAAATATACAAAAAAGGTTTAAAT